TAAGCCTGTATTGCTATGAACCTTCCCCTTAGCACTGCTTTTACAGTGTCCCATAGGTTTGGGGTTGTTGGGTTTCCATTTTCATTCATTTCTATGCATATTTTGATTTCTTTTTTGATTTCTTCTATGATTTGTTGGTTATTCAGAAGTGTGTTATTTAACCTCCATATGGTGGAATTTTTAATAGCTTTTTTCCCCCCTGTAATTGAGATCTAATCTTACTGCACTGTGGTCAGAAAAAATGACTGGAATGATTTCATTTTTTTTTAATTTACCAAGGCTAGATTTATGGCCCAGGATGTGATCTATTCTGGAGAAGGTTCCATGTGCACTTGAGAAAAAGATGAAATTGATTGTTTTGGGGTGAAATATCCTATAGATATCAATTAGGTCTAGCTGGTCCATTGTGTCATTTAACGTTTGTGTTTTTTTGTTAATCTTCTGTTTACTTGATCTATCCATAGGTGTGAGTGGGGTATTAAAGTCTCCCACTATTATTGTGTTATTGTTGATTTCCCCTTTCATACTCGTTAGCATTTGCCTTACATATTGTGGTGCTCCTATGTTGGGTGCATATATATATTTATAATTGTTATATCTTTTTGGATTGATCCTTTGATCATTATGTAGTGTCCTTCTTTGTCTCTTTTCACAGACTTTATTTAAAAGTCTATTTTATCTGATATGAGTATTCTGACTCCTGCTTTCTTTTGGTCTCCATTTGGGTGAAATTTTTTTTTTCCAACTCTTCACTTTCAGTCTGTATGTGTCCCTTGTTTTGAGGTGGGTCTCTTGTAGACAGCATATATAGGGGTCTCAGATTTGCATCCATTCAGCCAGTCTTTGTCTTTTGGTCGGGGCATGCAACCCATTTATATTTAAGGTAATTATTGATAAGAATGGTCCCATTGCCATTTGCTTTGTTGTTTTGGGTTTGCGTTCATACAACCTTTCTGTGTTTCCTGTCTAGAGAAGATCCTTTAGCACTTGTTGAGGAGCTGGTTTGGTGGTGCTAAATTCTCTTAGCTTTTGCTTGTCTGTAAAGCTTTTCAATTCTCCTTCATATCTGAATGAGATCCTTGCTGGGTATAGTAGTCTGGGTTATAGGTTATTCTCTTTCATTATTTTAAGTATGTCCTGCCATTCCTTTCCGGCCTGAAGAGTTTCTGTTGAAAGATCAGCTGTTATCCTTATGGGAATCCCCTTGTGTGTTATATGTTTTTTCTGCCTTGTTGCTTTTAATATTTGTTCTTTGTGTTTGATCTTTGTTAATTTGATTAATATGTGTCTTATGGTTTTCCCAGTGGTCATGTATGGATGTGAGAGTTGGACTGTGAAGAAAGCTGAGTGCCGAAAAATTGATGCTTTTGAACTGTGGTGTTGGAGAAGATTCTTGCGAGTCCCTTGGACTGCAAGGAGATCCAACCAGTCCATCCTAAAGGAGATTAGTCCTGGGTGTTCATTGGAAGGACTGATGCTGAAGCTGAAACCCCAATACTTTGGCCACCTGATGCAAAGAGTTGATTCATTGGAAAAGACCCTGATGCTGGGAGGGATTGAGGGCAGGAGGAGAATGGGACGACAGAGGATGTGATGGCTGGATGGCGTCACCGACTTGATGGACATGAGTTTGAGTACACTCTGGGAGCTGGTGATGGACAGGGAGGCTTGGCGTGCTGCGATTCATGGGGTCGCAAAGAGTAAGACACGACTGAGTGAACTGAACTGAACTGAACTGGGGTGTTTCACCTTGGGCTTATCCTGTTTGGAACTCTCTGGGTTTCTTGGACTTGTGTGACTATTTCCTTCCCCCTTTTAAGGAAGTTTTCAGCTATTATCTCGTCGAGTATTTTCTTATGGACTTTCTTTTTGTCTTCTTCTTCTGGGACTCCTATGATTCTAATGTTGGGGCATTTCACGTTGTCCCAGAAGTCCCTGAGGTTGTCTTCATTTCTTTTGATTCTTTTTTCTTTTTTCCTCTCTGCTTCATTTATTTCCACAGTTTTATCTTCTACCTCATGTAAGCTATCTTCTGCCTCTATTATTTTATTGTTGGTTCCCTCTAGAGTGTTTTTGATCTCATTTATTGCATTATTCATTTTTAGTTGACTCTTTTTTATTTCTTCTAGGTCCTTGTGAAACATTTCTTTCATCTTCTCAATCCTTGTCTCCAGGCTATTTATCCGTAGCTCTATTTTGTTTTCAAGATTTTGGATCATTTTTATTATTATTACTCTATATTCTTTTTCAGGTAGATTCCCTACATCCTCCTCTTTTGTTTGGCTTGTTGGGCATTTTTCATGTTCCTTTACCTGCTGGGTGTTTCTCTGCCTTTTCATCTTATTTGGATTGCTATGTTTGGAGTGGCCTTTCTGTATTCTGGTAGTCTGTGGTTCCTTTTTATTGTAGAGGTTTCTCCCAGTGGGTGGGGTTGGACAATTGTCTTGTCAAGGTTTGCTGGTTAGGGAAGCTTGTGTTGGTGTTCTGTTGGGTGGAGCTGGATTTCTTCTCTCTGGAGTGCAATGGAGTGTCCAGTAGTGAGTTTTGAGATGGGTCTATGGGTTTGGTGTGACTTTGGGTAGCCTGTATATTGAATCTCAGGGCTATGTTTCTGCATTGCTGGAGATTTTGTGTGGTATGTCTTGCTCTGGAACTTACTGGCCCTTGGGTGGTGGTTGGTTTCAGTGTAGGTATGGAGGCTTTTGAATGATCTCTTATTACTTAATGTTCCCTGTAGTCAGGAGTTCTCTGGTGTTCTCAGGTTTTGGGCTTAAGCCTCTTGCCTCTGTATTTCAGTCTTATTCTTCCAGTAGCCTCAAGACTTCTCCATCTATACAGCACTGATAATAAAACTTCTAGGTTAATGGTGAAAGGATTCTCCACAATGAGGGACACCCAGAGAGTTTCACAGAGTCACATGAAGAAGAGGAGAGGGAGGAAGGAGATAGAGGTGAGCAGGAGGAGAGAAAGGAGGATTCAAGAGAAGAGAGATAGATCTAGGCAGCACCCTGTTCCCTAAATGTTCTCTGCAGCCCAGAACACCCACAGAGATTCACATAATTTGACTGAGAAAAGAAGGGGGAGGGAGGAAAGAGAGGTGATCTGGGGGAGAAAAAGGAGCATCAAAAGGGGGAGAGAGTAATCAAACCAGTAATCACACTCCTGAGTAAAAATGGTACTGAAGGTTGGACCAAATTTGATATCAAATACTGAAAAACAAAGATTAAAAATCTAATGTAGATGTTAGACTCTTAAAAATACAATATTAAAAAAAACAAAAACAGAAAAAATTTAAGAAATATATATGAAGTTCACTTTAAAAACAGGCTCCTTTTTTTTTTTTTTTTTGGCCAGGTTATAGTGGGTTTTAAAAATGAACATTAAGGAGTAATAGAGGAGTAATAGAGGACTTTAAAAAAAACAAAGAGGAAAAAATTTTTTTACTTAAAAAAAAACAATAATAGTAAAAATATATTTAGGAATTTCTCTGGAGCTGTTCCGGGCAGTGTGGGTTCGGTTCAGTTTCAGATAGCTCCTTGTTTCAGCTTACACTTCTCAAAATCTATAGGCCCCTTCCGGTGTAGTCGGTGTTAACTACAAGGATTTTAATCTGTTGCACCTGTCACTTCTAAAGCAGTTCCCTTTGTTTATTTGGCTTCTGTTGGCAGGTCTCTACAGTGTCTAATTTCAGCCTTGACACAAGTGGGCAGAGGTGGTCTCTTGTTTAGGTTCAGTCGTGCTGCAGGGAGGGAGGGGCACTGCAGACAAATGTCACCGGTGTGTGTGGGGAGCACTCGCGGTGTTCCGGCCACACTGGGTTTGCCCCTGCTTGCAGCGTGTGTGCTTTCCCCATCTACACTGCTCAGGCTCCAGGCTGCTCTTCAGGGAGCGGGCCCTGAGTTGCGTGCACTTCTCAGGCCCAAGCCTCTCAGGTTCAGGTTTTCGGGTACTCCACAAAGGCACAGACTCGGTTGGGCCTGCGTTTTGTGCCTTCCCCATCCGAGCAGCTCAGGCAGCCAGGAGCTTGACCAGCGCACTCTCCCCGGGTGCAGTGCGCCGTATCCCTTCTGTGGTCCCAGACTCAGTTTCCACGCACTGGTCCGGTGCGCCTTGTGTCTCTTCTGGGAAGCTGATTTCTGGCTGTGACCCTCCTGGCAAATGTCAACCATCCAGAATTTCAGGAAGTCTTTGGTTAGAGACTGGAAACCAGTTTGCCGTTTGGTAGGGGATGCCGTCTCTGGGGTCAAGTTTGCCCCTTTCCCCTCCTAGCTGTCTCCTGCCTCTGGCGGGGGCGCGGGGGAGGGGGGGGGAGCCCGCAGCCTTCTAGCTCTTCTCTGGTATTAGCTCAGTCCTTTGTTCTGCGAACAGGCGGGCAGTGTGTTCAGTTAGTGTGGTTTTGCCAGTTAGTTTTCTCTCTCTCTTGCTATCCCACAGTTTAAGTTGCTATCTCACATTAGCTCCCTCCAATTGCCCTCAAGGCATTAGGGCCCAGTCCTTATCCTAAGCAATGCCGCCTGCTCCTTTCCGTTCAGCCCCCACTTGCTGGTGGTGGATGCGAGCATCTGGGGTACTTTTCTGCTGGGAGTTGCTTTTAGGCATGCAATCTGTGGGTTTTATTTATTTTTCCTCCCAGTTAAGTTGCCCTCCGAGATTCGAAAACTTCCCCAGACCCACCAGTGAGAGAGTTTCCTGGTATTTGGAAACTTCCTCTATTAAGACTCCCTTCCCAGGATGGATCTCCGTCCCTAACTCTATTGTCTCTGTTTTTATCTTTTATATTATGACCTACCTCCTTTCGAAGACAATGGGCTGCTTTTCTAGGCGCCTGATGTCCTCTGCTAGCGATCAGAAGTTGTTTTGTGGAGTTTGCTCAGCGTTCAAATGATCTTCGATGAATTTGTGGGTGAGAAAGTGGTCTCCCTATCCTATTCCTCCACCATCTTAGCTCCTCCAGCCCCATATGATTGTTTTAAAGTCAAAAACTTAAGACCGATAATGTATTAATAGAAAGTTACTCTGGACACCTGTTTCCAAATGACATGGAAGGAGTTTTTGTTTGGAATCAAATCCTCTGATCCAGACCACAGATGAAGCAACCACAGGACTACCCTTTCTTGTCTGAGGTCTGCAGGTGTGCATTTCAGCTGGGGTCTTGCAGCAGGGGGGCTCTCACTTATGACTCTGTGGGGTTTTTGTACAGCTTTTCCCATTACTTCAAGCACTGTGAGTTCCCATACTGCACAAAAGTACTTTGCGGAGTCTTCCAGTTGTAAGGCTGAAATGGTGAGGCTGATGGAGTTCTGTGCTTTCCGAAAGTCTACAGAGTAGCGGCCATTCCTTGCATTCGGGCCAGAAGATTCCTGACGAATAAGGAAAGTCATCTCTCCACTGGGAAGCTGCTTGTACCAAAAAAGGTAGTGCGTGTACTCACTCCAACTTACTTCATACCGACAGTTCAGAATGACAGATTGCCCTATTTGACTGGTTATGTCTGGCTGGTCTTGAGTAACTTTCTGGGCCACACCAGATCCTATGGGAAAAAAATCAGAAAACCGAGCTGAATTGGTGAACAAAATAATGTAGGAATTAGAGTAATTTGAGACCCAACGTAAATCCAAATTGAAATCATAATAAATATGCTTTTCTCCAACCCTCCTTTCCTCCCCAAGTCCCTGTGAAGCACCACGTGCCTGTGTGCAGTCTTTCACCCTAAACAGTCACACCATGTTTGAGAGCATCCCTACCAGAGAAGGTGAAGGCCAGGAACACCCAGAGCAGACTGGAGAGTGGCATGAGGCATGGATTCCCCTGCACAAATGTGCTCAGTTCTGCTTCAAGCTGAGAGCTCAGTGTCTTTGAGTGCCTGGCAGCACATATACATGCTACCCGGTACCTGCGTGACTCCCCCCAACAGGAAGTGGGGGTTGTCTTGCTCATAGATCACATGGTCTGTGCACAGATGAGAAAAAGTCTGACTCACCACAGACCTTTATTTTGTCTACTTGTCTTTCTCTGGTCATGAATTACCTGGTCACTAATGACCTATGAAGTATCTGAAAGGGGCTTGAAAGAAACAATTCTCATGAAAGGTTTGAGATGAGCAGAACAGAAGAATAAACAAGTTGACATACATTGGTAATTATTCAGCAGAATAACTTTACCAGTCCATTTAAAACATAATTTAGTATATGACATGAACCCTTCTTATAATCTATTTACTGGTCATAATTTAGCCTATGCCTACTTTCCTCCATCCAGAGTCTAATGACTCTTTTAAGAAGCTCAAAGACCTTCAGCTTTCTCAGTGAAAGGCAATCTTATCCAAATAGTTAATATATCTCTTGTCTACTGGATTCTAAGGCTCTAGTTAGGTTTTCCTGTACATAAGTTACTTCAAGATCAAACAATAACAAATCAGTCCTTCTGACTTTCAGAATCTATTCCGTTATCTATGTTTTTATGAAATTATAACAGGAATAAAACATTTTTTGAAATCTGACATTGAATCTTACTTATTAGACTTTGAGAAGGATCAGGATATTCAGACCTGCTGCCTCCCAAAGTAGAATCATACTTATTAGATCATGTGTCCTAGAGTTGTCCTCATGTCACGTTTTCTATGTCATTGGCCCAAAGTGTTCAGCCTCACTTGTTAGTGGCTCATTATTTTTCTCTTTGTAAAATAAAGTCAATAGAAGCATGCCAGATCCTTCTGTGACACAATGCTATAATGCACTCCTGCCAAACTTGGTTTCTACAGGCTGCAGACACTTAGTACCTGTCAATACCACAGAAGCTGGTGACTGAAGTTCTGTACACTGTTACAAGATCATGTAGAATGTAACTGTCAATCTTCCATCTGGTTTCATTGTTTCAATGGAAAAATTAACATAAAATAGTCAAAGGCAAATAGACAAGTAGAAAGGAATACAGACAAGTTCTCTAAAACAGTGCCAGTTCTTTAATTTTAGGACAAGATAACTAGTGATGCAGGAATAATAGTGTATATTTAGTTGAGATGTCTACTCCTCTGTCTCATTTCACCTCAGAGCGCTGACAGGCAACTGATGCCCTGCTTTGCAATTATTTATAACTAAGTAGAAGAGACCATGGATGCCCACAGCAGCCTAGGCAGCGGCATGATAAAATGAAATATATATATTAACAGAATAATTACAGGTAAAAATATAAAGAAATTGATATTGATAAATTTTCATCAAAACACAGAACTTACTCTGATTCACCAGTTTTTACAGGCACTTTTTTGATGCATAACTCTATGAAATTTTATCACATGTGTGGGTTCTTGTAACTGTCACAGAAATCACAATATAGAACTGTCCCATCATTCTAAAAAATGTCCCTTTGCACATGTTCTCACCCCTGCAATCCCTGATCACCCCTGGCAACTACTGCTCTCCTTTTCATTTCTATATTTTTCCTTTTAAGAATGTCATGTAAGTAGAATCATACCTTATGTATGGAATCATTATGGATTATAATCATACAATCCAATAAATGTTATACATCAAGTAGCCTTCTGAGATAGACTTTTTTCCACTCAGCATAACACTCTTGAGATCAATCTGGCTTATTGCATGTCTTAGTAGTCTGTTCCTTTTAATCACTACAGACTTCTCCCAACTAAGGATGGTTTGATTACACTTATTGACTTTATGGTGGTGAGAAAGCCATATGCATTCAGTTGAGAGCATACTTTGAATTTTGATCTTTCCTGGGCTAGCACCATGCAGCATGATATTCTCAGGTGATGCTGGGAGTGAGCTGAGCTTCTAGTCAGGCCCAGAATCAGGAGCATAAACAACCTTTCTGTTCCCATACAACCTTTCTGTTTTTCACTCTCAGCTCAGTAGTCAATAAATTACATGAGGTTTTGCTATACTTTCCTATAAAATAAACTTTGTGTTAGATGATTTTTTCCAACTGTAAGTTAATGTAACTGTTGAGCATGTTTAAGCTAAGCTAGGCTAAACTAAGGTGTTTGGAAGGTTAGATGTAGCAAATGTTTTTTTCTCCTTAATACAATATTTTCAAGTTACAATGGTTTATTAGAACATAACTCCATCATAAGTTGAGGAAGATCTATAAATAATATGTCTATTTATTCATCAGTTTACCCATAGAAGATGTTTGGGTAGTTTCCAGTTTGGGGCCATCACAAATAGGGCTACCATGAATATTCATCTACAGATTTTTGTATGAACATAAGTTTTTTATTTCTCAAGCATTAATACCACAAGTGTGACTGCTGAGTTGTAAGGAAAGTGGGTATTTAAGTTCTGGCAACGATGCAGAGAAACTGGATCACTCATGCATTGCTGGTAGGTGAATGGTACAGTCATTCTAGGAGATGGTACATTCAGTTTCTCTGCATCGTTGCCAGAACTTGGTATTGTCAGTACTTTTAGTTTTAGCCTTTATGACACATGTGGAGTGCTATCTCATTGTGTCTCTAATTTACATTCCCTAATGGCTATTGATGGTGAACATTTGTTCATATACTTATTTATACGCTTTTATCCCTACTACATATCCTCTTTGGTAAAGTGCCTTGTGTAAAAGTGCCTTTTAAAGTGTCTTTTGTTCATTTTTCAACTGGATTGTTTGTTTTCTTCCTGTTGAGTTTAGGAGTCCATTGTATTCTGAATACCACTCTTTTGATGGAAATATAGTCTGCAAACATTTCCTACCATTCAGTGGTTTGTCTTTTTCATTCTTTTAATAATAACTTTCACAGAGCAATTTTTTTTAATTTTAATGAAATCTAAGTTTTTTTATGGATTGTGCTTTTGGTGTCATGTCAAAAATATTTTTGCCTAACCGTATGTTATAAAGATTTTCTCTTCTGGTTTCTTCTAAAATGTTTATAGTTTTACATTTGAATGTAGGATCCATTTTGAGACTGAATTCAATGTTTTATATAAGGTGTGAGATTTAGGCCAAGTTCCAATTATTTGCATATAAATATCCAACTGTCCCAGTATCATTTGCTGATAAAACTGTCCTCTGTTCAACTGTCTTTGCATCTTTGTCAAAAAAATCAATTTTCCCCACTTGTATGGGTTGACTTCTATACTCTTACTCAGTGACATAAACTTGCCAATGATTTTTTAATGATCATTTTAGCATCTGTAGTATTTTTACATAAATGGTTTACTTTTTCATTCCTTATATTCATAATTTATGCTTTTTCTTTTTTCCCTTGATACTTCTACCTAGAAACAGATCAATTTTATTAATCAGCTTTCTCCCTGTGTGAGTCTACTTCTATAGTGTTACCCAGAGGCATAAATTTATTAATAATATTGCTCTATTACCATTTTTACACTGCAGAATCTGCATATGATTTTCTCATAAGTCATGTTTTCTTTTATTATATTGATAATTCCCTTGATAATTCTAGCTAGGAATAGATCAATGTTATTAATCATTTTAAGAAAATTAACTATATTTAATGGTTAATTCTATTGTTTGCTTTAGAGTTCACCAATCTGAATTTTTAAGTTTATCCTTCTTTTAGACTATATTGGGTTTTATTTGTTCTTTTTCTATCTTCTTTTGCTGAAAGCTTAGATCATTTTTTTCATCCGTTTTTCTTTGGTAATCAGTTCAGTTCAGTTCAGTTCAGTTGTTCAGTCGTGTTTGACTCTTTGCGACCCCATGAATCGCAGCACGCCAGGCCTCCCTGTCCATCACCAACTCCTAGAGTCCACCCAAACCCATGTCCATCGATTCAATGATGCCATCCAGCCATCTCATCCTCTGTTGTCCCATTCTCCTCCTGCCCTCAATCCTTCCCAGCATTAGTGTCCCCTCAAATGAGTCAGTTCTTCGCATCAGGTGGCCAAAGTATTGGAGTTTCAGCTTCAACATCAGTCCTTCCAATGAACACCCAGGACTGATCTCCTTTAGGATGGACAGATTGGATCTCCTTGCAGTCCAAGGGACTCTCAAGAGTCTTCTCCAATACCACAGTTCCAAAGCATCAATTCTTCAGCGCTCAGCTTTCTTTATAGTCCAACTCTCACATCCATACATGACCACTGGAAAAACCCTAGCCTTGACTAGACAGGCCTTTTTTGGCAATGTAGTGTCTCTGCTTTTTAATATGCTGTCTAGGTTGGTCATAACTTTCCTTCCAAGGAGTAAGGATATTTTAATTTCATAGCTGCAGTCACCATCTGCAGTGATTTTGGAGCCCAGAAAAATAAAGTCTGACACTGTTTCCACTGTCTCCCCATCTTAGTTTTCTGAATGCTGAGCTTTAAGCCAACTTTTTCACTTTCCTCTTTCACTTTCTTCAAGAGGCTTTTTAGTTCTTCTTCACTTTCTGCCATAAGGGTGGTATCATCTGCATATCTGAGGGTATTGATATTTCTCCTGGCAATCTTGATTCCAGCTTGTGCTTCTTCCAGCCCAGTGTTTCTCATGATGTACTCTGCATATAAGTTAAATAAGCAGTGTGACAATATACAGCCTTGACATACTCATTTTCCTTTTTGGAACCAGTCTGTTGTTCCATGTTCAGTTTTAACCTTTGCTTCCTGACCTGCGTACAGGTTTCTCAAGAGGCAGGTCAGGTGGTCTGGTATGCCCATCTCTTTCAGAATTTTCCACAGTTTATTGTGATCCACACAGTCAAAGGCTTTGGCATAGTCAATAAAGCAGACATAGATGTTTTTCTGGAACTGTCTTGCTATTTCGATGATCCAGCAGATGCTGGCAATTTGATCTCTGGTTCCTCTGCCTCTTCTAAAACCAGCTTGAACATCTGGAAGTTCACAGCTCATGTATTGCTGAAGTCTGGCTTGGAGAATTTTAAGCATTACTTTACCACCATATGAGATGAGTGCAATTGTGTGGTAGTTTGAGCATTCTTTGGCTTTGCCTTTCTTTGGGATTGGAATGAAAATGACTTTTTCCAGTCCTGTGGCCACTGGTGAGTTTTCCAAATTTGCTAACATATTGAGTGCAGCACTTTACAAAGTACTTAAAAAAGATAAATTTCCTTCTATGTATTACTTTAGCTGTGCCTTATACATATGTATATATTTGTGTTCTCTCTATATGTTCTTTAAAATACTTTGTTATAGTCATTGTAATTGCTTCTTAAACATACATATGAGTTGTTTTAAATTTAGTGCCAAAATTCCAAATGTTTGGGAGTTTTTAGAGATATCTTTTCACAACTGATTTTCTATATCAACTCCATTTTGGTGAAATAGTAAATTCTGTATAATTTCAGTTTTCTTATATTAAGACTTTTTATGCACAAACAAACGGTGTGTGTCTGTGTGCATATTTCATCTGCACTTCAAGATGTGTCTGGAGCCTCGACTGCAGGTTTGGGTACAGGCTGCAGGTGCCTGGGGAGCACTGTGCAGTTGCTGCACAGAAGTAGATGGCTGAGTCTTCAGGTTGGGAAGTTGCGATGTGCAATGAGAGCTGTTTGGCACTCTTATTGAGGAAAATTGTGAGTCTTCCATCTTCCATTTCATTCACAACTGAACGTATGGCTATCAAGAATGCAGGGCCTTTACCAGGATATTGCCGGTACCATGGGAAGTAGTCAAATGCACTCTTCTCATAACTACAGTTCAGAATGGAAATCTCTCCTTCCTGGACTGTCAAAGATTGAGGGCTCTGTTTCACCTGCTCTTGGTCACTTTTTCCCTTCTGTTGTCCACTCACCCCTGCTTAAAGAGATAAAAAGTCATTAGGTCCACAAACTGATATTTCCTTCTTAAAGTTTCTATCTGCATGAATTTGTCCATACTCCAATTTTCTCACTCCACAAATTAATGAGATATCCTAGGGTTTCTCCATAATAACTCACAGTTTACTTGAAGACACAGAATTAAGAATGATGCTTCCAGTATCTTGTCCATTGGTCCTGGCACCAAAGTTCATTGACAGCTCAGGTTCTTCCTCTGGTCTCCTCAGCCAGCTAGAACTCTGACTTAAGATTCACACCAGCTTTAAATTTTTCCAAGAGGCCCCACCTTCTCACAAGTACGTTCAACTAAGCTTTTTTTTTTTTTTCAAAGCAAGCACTTCCCAATTTTTTCTATCTTAGACTTGCTCAAAATTACTTTCATTGAAAAGCAGAAATCCCCTCCTTACACATAGAATATGATTAGTTTAGAATTTCTCTCCCCTATTCCTCAACTTCTTTTCCTTCACATTTCCAAGAAGGTTAAAAATCATGTATCAGGACAACTTGATATCTTAACAGGGATTACATCATTTTACAATGGAGAAGAGAGGGACTTCCATGAAATTACAAGATGAGCATTTCTCTTTTTTTAATTACAAATACAAATTAAAGTCTATTGAAGTCACACAGTCATGTCCAACTCAGTCATGTCCAACTCACTGAGCCCCCATGGACTGCAGCACACCAGGCCTCCTTGTCCATCACCAACTCCTGGAGTTCACTCAAACTCATGTCCATTGAGTCAGTGATACCATCCAACCACCTCATCCTTTGCTGTTTCCTTCTCCTCCTGCCTTCAATCTTTCCCAGCATCAGGGTTTTTCAAATAAGTCCGTTCTTCACATCAGGTGGCCAAAGTATTGGAGTTTCAGCTTCAACATCAGTCCTTCCAATGAATATTCAGGACTTATTTCCTTTAGAATGGACTGGTTCGATCTTCTCACAGCCCAAGTGACTCTCAAGAGTCTTCTCCAACACCACAGTTCCAAAGCATCAATTCTTCAGCTCTCAGCTTTCTTTATAGTCCAACTCTCACATCCATACATGACCATTGGAAAAACCCTAACCTTGACTAGACAGACCTTTCCTGGCAAAGTAATGTCTTTGCTTTTTAATATGCTATCTAGGTTGGTCATAACTTTCCTTCCAAGGAGTAAGCATCTTTTAATTTCATGGCTGCAGTCACCATCTGCAGTGATTTGGAAGCCCAAAAAATAAAGTCTGCCACTGTTTCCACTGTTCCCCATCTATTTGTAAAATTAAAATAATTAAGGAGCACATGTTTTTGAAGCCCAGAGTTTTGTCTCTGTATTTGATGTCATCTCAAATTCAATCAAAGAAAACATCATTACAGTTCAACAGGAGAAATAATAAAAGTTCTCATTACTCAGTCTAATCCCATCTACCCCATCATTCTAAGGGGAACTTTTATTGTTTGTTAGACTTCTGATATGTTTTCTTTTTCATTTATTCATTCATGAATGCATCTCAATATCTATTTAATGAGTGTTGCTAAGTGACTACTTAATATTCAATACTTGGGTCTCAAGAAGGAAAGAGACAATTCCCATCTTCAGTCAACTGAGGCCCAATACTCAAGTACAATCAGATAAAAGCTACTAAGAATAAATGTGTATCTCTAAGATATGACAAAGAAAAAAGTAATAAACTCTGCTTCTCAACTCAGCCAGATAACAGTTTTAATGGAGGCGATACTTGAAATGGAACTTACACCACTACTATATTTCCCATAAAGATGGAGGACATGAACTCTAGGCACAGATTAAATAAGTGTGATAGACATTTATATTAGAGAAGCTAAATGTGGCCATATCCTTGAGGACAACATGTATTATTCAGAGAAGTGTTGATTTTCAAAGCCATATTTTCAAGCTATTAAACTACAATATACATAGATACTACCTAGGTAGATGGATGGATAGATAAAACATACATACATTCATACATGATTGATAGATGTAAAGGGAACCATAATAGGAGATAAAACTTTAGTGGATTTTTAAGGGATCCTTTCTGGCTACTTGAAGAATATGTGTATGTGAGACAAGCATTACAGTAATCTCTGAAGCAGCATTGCCCCTTTGTGGCCATAGAAAGAAGTTATGCTTTAAAAAATGTATATAGCTTCTTAAAAATTCATGCTCATCACCTATGAACATCAATCAGAGCACTGAAATATGTAACCAAGTCTTCAACTTGAATCAGTGATTTCTTGAGACAGAAGGAGATTTTACCTGGTTGAAATATTGACCCTCAGACTGAGTCAGTATAAGGAGCTGTCTTTCTTCCCATAATGTCAACAGCAAATCAAGAAGAGCCCTTTATACTGAAGAGACCATGTCTTTAAATAGATTCTAAATCAGAAAATTGTGTTATATATTGCTGAAGCCTGGCTTGGAGAATTCTGAGCATTACTTTACTACTGTGTGAAATGAGTGCAATCGTGAGGTAGTTGGAGCATTCTTTGGGATTGCCTTTCTTAGGGATTGGAATGAAAACTGACCTTTTCCAGTCCTGTGGCCACTGCTGAGTTTTCTAAATTTGCTGACATATTGAGTGCAGCACTTTCATAGCATCATCTTTCAGGATTTGAAATAGCTCAACTGGAATTCCATCACATCCACTAGCTTTGTTCGTAGTGATGCTTTCTAAGGCCCACTTGACTTCACATTCTAAGATGTCTTGCTCTAGGTGAGTGATCACACCATTTTGACTATCTGGGTCGTGAAGATCTTTTTTGTGCAGTTCTTCTGTGTATTCTTGCCACCTCTTCTTAATATCTTCTGCTTCTGTTAGGTCTGTCACGCGAGTGTATGATCCTCGGTTCTTTGTCTCGTCACAACAAAAATTTGGAGTGACGGACATTGAAGCTCCCTCGGCGGGTCACAGCTCTCGGAGGACAGACCTGTTATAGGTCTTAAATAAATCTGTGTTACAGCTCAGTGTCACAGCTCTATTTATTTAGATGATAGCAGGAAAATCCATCTTCGAGGTATGAGGGCACTTCGATCCAAAGATGGGAAGAGAAGAGCGCCCCATCGTGTGGGAGAGAGAGAGAAGAGGGCTTCGGCTCCTCTTTTTATATGTTTTTTTGTTCCCCCTGGCCTGTCCTATGCAAATTGGGCTTAGGCAGGAGCGTTGTTTGTTTTACCTGAGGTTCTCACTTCACTCCTGGGACCTTCCTTTGTTCTATTTTCGTGTGCTTTCCCTTCCAGGTCTTTTAGCCACTGCCATTTTGGGCTCCTTTTCCCTATTCTAACTACCTAATAGGTCCATACCATTTCTGTCCTTTATCGAACCCATCTTTGCATGGAATATTCCCTTTGTATCTCTAATTTACTTGAAGAGATCTCTAGTCTTTCCCATTCTGTTGTATTCCTCTATTTGTTTGCACTGATTGCTGAGGAAGGCTTTCTCATCTCTCCTGGCTATTCTTTGGAACTCTGCATTCAAATGGGAATGTCTTTCCTTTTCTCCTTTGCCTTTCGCTTCTCTTCTTTTTACAGCTATTTGTAAGGCTTCCTCAGACAACCATTTTGCCTTTTTGCATTTCTTTTCCATGGGGATGATCTTCATCCCTGTCTCCTGTACAATGTCACGAACTTCCACCCATCGTTCATCAGGCTCTCTGTCTATCAGATCTAGTCCCTTAAATCTATTTCTCACTTCCACTGTATAGTCATATGGGATTTGATTTAGGTCATACCTGAATGGTCTAGTGGTTTTCCCTATTTTCTTCAGTTTAAGTCTGAATTTGGCAATAAGGAGTTCACGGTCTGAGCCACAGTCAGCTCCTGGTCTTGTTTTTGCTGACTGTATAGAGCTTCTCCATCTTTGGCTGCAAAGAATATAATCAATCTGATTTTGGTGTTGACCATCTGGTGATGTCCATGTGTAGAGTCTTCTCTTTTGTTGTTGGAAGAGGGTGTTTGCTATGACCAGTGTGTTCTCTTGGCAAAACTCTATTAGCCTTTGCCCTGCTTCATTCCATACTCCAAGGCCAAATTTGCTTGTTACTCCAGGTGTTTCTTGACTTCCTACTTTTGCATTCCAGTCCCCTATAATGAGAAGGACATCCTTTTTGGGTGTTAGTTCTAAAAGGTCTTGTAGGTCTTCATAGAACCGTTCAACTTCAGCTTCTTCAGCGTTACTGGTTGGGGCATAGGCTTGGATTACCATGATATTGAATGGTTTGCCTTGGAAACGAACAGAGATCATTCTGTCGTTTTTGAGATTGCATCCAAGTGCTGCATTTCAGACTCTTTTGTTGACCATGATGTCTACTCCATTTCTTCTAAGGGATTCCTGCCCACAGTAGTAGATATAATGGTCATCTGAGTTAAATTCACCCATTCCAGTCCATTTTAGTTCACTGATTCCTAGAATGTCGACATTCACTCTTGCCATCTCCTGTTTGACCACTTCCCATTTGCCTTGATTCACGGACCTAACATTCCAGGTTCCTATGCAATATTGCTCTTTATAGCATTGGACCTTGCTTCTATCACCAGTCCCATCCACAACTGGGTATTGTTTTTGCTTTGGCTCCATCCCTTCATTCTTTCTTGAGTTATTTCTCCACTAATCTCCAGTAACATACTGGGCACCTACCGACCTGGGGAGTTCCTCTTTCAGTAGCCTGTCATTTTGCCTTTCCATACTGTTCATGGGGTTCTCAAGGCAAGAATACTGAAGTGGTTTGCCATTCCCTTCTCCATTGGACCACGTTCTGCCAAACCTCTCCACTATGACCCAACCGTCTTGGGT